CGCTTAAGTGATTTGTTTAATTATTTTCCTGCAATAAACGGCCAGCGCCATGCACGCGACCAAGTTCCCACCGGCATAAAAAAACGTCGACCGACCACGCTCCTAGGCCCTCGGTCGGACCAAGCAAGACACCGACCCAGACGACAAGCTACAGCAGCAGGAGCAGCCAAGACGTGGTCGAGATGATTCACTTCAAGGCGCCTTGGTCCAACCAAGATGCACCACGGCGGCATGGAACCCTATCACTGCTAGCTACACTCTCAACTGACTGCTCTTACCGGTACCGTCGACCAGCCAACCGTCACACCTCGACGTCCGCGCTTGCCAATAAGAAAATCAGTAGCGTAAAGAGCACACCAAGCACTCAGCTGTTTAACTAATAGCAACACACACATCGTCGTCGCCAACGTCGCCCGCCGATCACGCATCCTTGGGGCACCCCACTTCCGTGGCTAGCGAGGTCGTTCACTCCATTTCTTGAGTGCCCTCTGACGACAACAAGCGCAACTCCCGAGACGGCGGCAAGCACACCGCACCGCTCGGATAGAACGAAGGCAGCGTCTACAATGAAAAGCGAGCCGCGCATGAAGCAATAGAGCGCTGTCATTTCGAAGTCAAACGTCAAACAGCTAGTATCAATGTTTCAAGAATTATCGCACGCTTTGCCCGCTGCGCTCCATGTATCGGTGTATCAAGGATCGACCCTTGCCGAGCATCAAGCAAGGCATGGTTTTGTAAAGAAGCTCCTTCAATGGTCAGGCACACATGCTTTTACCAGGGTATTTCCCTCCGTTGCTTCGACTGTAAGAGGTGTGCGACGGCGGAGCTTTCCGATACGCATGGTACATTGGATGCAAGCATAATAATAAATAGTCTATTTTCGCAGTGCTAATAATAAGATTGAATCGCGGCTCTACAAGGAAGGGCCGGCAGCAGTCGAAGCCGGCGTCGTCGCGTAGAACGCAAGGTCGTGCACGTCGAGGCTGCTCCGGTGGCTTGAGTGGCTCGTCGAATTGGAGCGCACTTCGGTGTTGCGGCGGCTGCGGTACCACGCGTCCGGGTGGATCGTGTCGAGTTGGACGCTGTCGTACATGGTCGGCGCTTGTTTGCTCTTGTCGTAGATCGAGAGGAAGCTCAGGATCGCTTTCGCGCCGCTGCAGAGGTGCGCTTCGTCGCAGAGGTCGCCTTGGATCGCGAGCAACGTGGCTTTCAAGAAGGCTTGGAGGTCCTCGAAGCGGCGCTGGCGCGAGGCCTTGGTCGAGAAAAAGAGCTTCTTCGGGAAGCGCGGGAGGTGCGAGCAGAGCGTGCAGTTGTTGCGGCCGGCGTGCGCGCGGGCAGCCGCGTAGAGCGTCGTCCAGAGCGCGTGGAACTCGGAGTAGCGCTTCGCAACGTAGTAGGAGCGGTCGCCGTGGTGGATCTGCACCACGTAGTACGTCGTCTCTTCGTGCTCGCCCACGGCCACGATCTTGGCGTGGACGCCATGGACGTTCTCGATCTTGTAGAGCATATTGATGGTGCTTTTGCAAGCGAAAA